GTTTTGACAAGAGAGAAGAGAACAAGGAGAAATCTTCAACCATCTGTTCTGAATCAGAACTGTCAATTTATTTCTTACTGTACTATATCTATTGGAAGGTTAGGTGTGAATTTGAAAATTAGTAATATTCCAAGAAATCCACTGTTTTCTTCCTGGTATTTGTCAGAAGTCATGTATACTAAAATTCGCACATTTTCATGAGGAGTTCTGTTAGCTCTGCTTGTATCAGTAGAAAGAGTTGGGCTGCTCCGTACAACCTGTTGAAGTGGTGGCTGAAGTTTACTCTGACAAGTCTGATAAATGCTGAAAATACTTTTATTTCTTCAGGAAATTAAGCATGATACATGATGTCACAGGCCTATTTATACTTGTTTCTATTTCATTAAGGAGGCCTTTGCAGGATATTCCTGCATGCTTCTCTGAAAATGTATTTCTTAATGTGTCAGTGGTCTTTCGGGTTTGTTTCTTTCTTTTTGTTTGGTTGGTTTTGGCCTCTTGCAGTTTAAGTTCTTCAGGCACCATTTTTTTAATCCCTGTGTAAAACAAGCATTAAAGGTCGTCTCGACAGGGTAGTTTTGAAACGGAAGCATACAAAGCTGATTTGAGGCCTCCAACTGAACGTACTTCAGAACTGCAAAGAGCGATCATCTGTTTTCACATACCAGTTTAGGATTATGGCTTCTTCGGTTTGTAATTCCAAGTTGAGAGTCACTTTCCTGCACTACTACTTTCTTTACAGGGTAGTAATGCAGATATTTAGTCTCACTAACACTTTCTTTTGGGTACGATATGCTGTGAAAACAGAACTTGAAGTCCATTGTAATTATTGAATGTGCTGTTATATGCTGCCTTGACAGAACGTAAAATATATCCTCTCTAGATTCCAAATCAAGAAGAGGAGACCAAAATTCTCCTGGGCCTGCCTCCTGACAGAATTGGACATGGAACATTTCTCAACTCTGCAACAACAGGTTCAGAAGAGTTAGTGCCACTTGTTCGACAGAATCATATACCTATTGGTAAGAAAAGAAGTTAAGAAAATTACTTGGTGATCTCTAGATTTCAGAATATCATACGTACTGCTGATCTAGGAACTCTGATTTGTCTTTGACCAGAGGTGACTTAGAAAAACGTGGCAGCGTAGGTGAGAGAATAGCCTATAAAGGTGCACTGGTAACGCTTTCGCGTTTGACGTATTTGTGGCAGCAGACAACAACTGATGTCTCGGATGACAACAAAACTAAACCGTAACTTCTACTTACTGTGCAAGGCTGTGTGGTGTTTCTCTATCTGGTTTGCAAGCTCCCTAAATTTTATACCCAGCCAGTAGTTAAGAAGAAATTGATTACCAAACTTCCCTCAGAGCATATTACCAAATATTTGAAGCATAGAAAATCAAGGAAACAACAATAGCTGATTTTAATTTTCATTCAGGAGCAGAAATAAGTTGATTAACGTGTCAAAAGCATCGCAAGTCTTTTGTTTTGATATATATACTTGTTTCTTCTTTTTTTTCCTTAGAACTTTGCATGACATCAAACATCAAAACTCAGACAGTGCCTTCCTGTGACAAACACCATTTTGGATACTGGTACAGCATGGGCCACCCTGCAGTGCTCTGTGTAAGTTTTTCGATTTTAACCACGTATTTAGGCAAAGGGCCAAACTAGCGTGAAATTGGAGAAGTATATCTCCTTTCATGGATGAGAGCTGACTTACTAACCTTGCGGCAAATCATCTGCTTGTAGGAAATCATAATGTTCTGTCTGAGAAATGCTTGTAATACAAACGGAAATTTTTAGTATTTCTCTTGGTTTTATTGTAAAGCAAGACTTTTTCTTCTGTATAGATAAGACGATCAGCTGTGCATGCAATGAACCTCGTAACTGTTTGCACGCTGACAGATTTCTCTTAAACATACTGGTCCAATGCTTGCATTTAAGCTTGTGCTTGCCTGGCTATTTACCGTGTTGGATGAGAGTTCTTGAGTTCTCTTGACAGCTAATTAAGGTCCTTAAATGTCGAGGTGCCAAGTACTTTTGCTGGCATTGGCAGGATTTTACCATCATCCTGTTGGTTTAACCCCTGTAATTTGTAGCATTATCCCAGTGTGTGTATATATATTAGAGCGTTGTGCTTATTATTCAAATAAGCCTCAATCCTTTATTCTATGAAGTACTTATTACCGAGTTTGAACTCTGTTGTATTAGGTGAAAAATAATTCACGATTAGAGATTATTTCTGAGGTTCTCAATTGTGAAAAGTCTAGATAACCACGAAGTCACGTAAGAAAGCAGTTTACCCATAAAAGCCTATAGAAGAAGGAGATACTACAGTGTCTTAAGTTTAACAGGATATAGTCAGCACTCCTCTCTGTGGGGACACAAGGACTGTGAGTTGGGGATGGGTAATCTCATTAACCCTGAAATAATGCTAACTTGCTCCTTCTAGATGAATAATCTTTTGGTGGCTTTCGATCATATGGTTTTGATGCCTGCCTAGTACTTCTGTCAGTATCCAGAAATTGTTCTAGTTGACACCAAGCGTGGAGGGTGAGACGGTTTCCTCCCTGAAGATGTAGGAATACGGAGTATGCTCCAGTTCCCAGGTCTGAGGGAAGGGAAAAGAGGAGTAAGGAGATGTGCACATGCTGACATAGCTTGCATGTATGCATCATTTAATAGCCATCTTTCTAGCCATTTTAATAGGAAAACCTATTTTCTGGATAAATTGTGCCATCACTTTAAGAAGTTTTCTTGTGTGTTTGAATAATTTATTAATTTTGAGTGAAAATAGGGCAAATAAAGTATGAAGTAATTACCAACAGATGAAAGAACCGTGGAATAAACCGTGCAACAGCAAGATAAAACTGGTTTGTAATGTGTAGAAAAGCCCCTTTTTGATGTAGAGGAACTAATTTAAACTCTTTTTTTCTTTTCTTTCAATTCAACTCCAGACTGATGATAAAGGCGTCTTTGCAACAGATCTATCGCAAGAATACGAGCTGGTTGCAAAAACATTTAATCTGACTCGATCACAGATGTGGGATCTTTCCTATGAATCAATCAACTATATCTTTGCTTCAAGCGTATTAAAATCAAAGCTCAGGGAACAGTGGTGTAAACTGAAGCCAACTCTGTTTGATTAATCAAACTTGTTCTAAACAGCTTGGCTGTGTTAGCTTAGTTAATAAGCATTTTTTATTGAAGTCCCTGGCTTTTTTCAGACTTCAGGTTTATAAATCCAGCCCATAAAGTGTCCCTGTGCAAAATGAAGACGACAGGAATGTGTCCTTTGTTAGTGGGGACAGAAGTAAATGTTCTTCTGTAGTTGGGAAGGGCTCTCAACCAGTGACTAAAATTCCAAATGTGTCATCACGTCGTTTCTCTCCAGTTGATACGACTTTTTTTAAAAAATACTACAAACATTTGAGAGTCAGAACAAAATAAAGGCACAGCCATTAGGGTTTGACATGTCTCTGTTGGCAACGTTACGCCAAGCACTTTGTATGTACGGTGTGTAGATTTGGGTTTTCTATTGGTTTTTAAACAGAGGTTTTGAGCAATTGATTGAATGTGAAGACAGAAACAGACTCGGAGAGAATGAAATAATGGTCTCAAAGGAATTAAATATTGCATGTTTTTATTGGCGTGCACGTATGACTGAAGCGTGCTGTGGATTGTGCAGCGTATGTGGTGGTGCCTGTTGATGCACTCAGCACTGGTAGTCCTTAGACAAAGTTAAGAATCTTGAATGCCTTAGCAAATTGTGAGCTACTTGGGGGAAATGGTCCCATTCTTAAAATGCTTTTTGGAATTGCTGTTTGTTTCTTTAAAAAAAGCAATAAAAATAGCTTCAACCTCCATGTTTCCGAAACCGCTGCTTCAGGTGTGCGTGCCTGTGCGTTTGAGATCTACAGAAGCGAAGCACGTGTAACCCGCTGCAGGATTTGGTAAGTGCGAGTCTCCGGAGCAGACTCGCTGTCTGTGAGCGGCACCGCTTCTGTTCTGACCCCAGAGGGTGCTCCGGGCTTCAGGCAGTGACAGGGTTCACTCCGCCTGACTCTATGCGTGTGCATGGATATTTTGATACTGAGATATCAAAACAGATATGAACATACACATGCAACAGCATCTAATACTAGATATTGTTCGCTAGTGTAGGAAGTATCCAGAGAGAAGGTATTGTATACCTAGAATATTTTTACATTGATTAATTAAACAAGCAAACATTCTGGGCTCTACAAGGAATACTGAATGTAAATACAGTGGTACAAAAGCTGTTCATGACTTGTGTTTTGGTCTTTTTTTAATAAAATCAGTGTAAAGTAGTTGTTCTGGCTCCAAAGTGGGAATAAGAAATGAAAAGGGGAAAAAAAAAGCTGGGGGGGGCAGGATAGCAAAGCAGTTGATATGTCTGTGTGGCTACCTGAGGTTTGCACGGAACGTTTTCCAGGCAGAAAACACTCCTTTTGGAGATGGGGGAAAATTATGTGAAGCAGAACTGTGGTTCTATATATTCTTATCTGAACTCAGAATAAGACCTCATGCTGACTTCTTATTTATAAATAGTACTTTAAAGTACTTTCCAAATAGTTCCACTGATCACATCATCTTTTGTTGTTTGATCAAGTTACATTATCACTAGCTGTTTGATCAAGTTTGTCTGTATTTTCTTTCTACAAAAATGATGACTACAGTAAATGTATCCTTTTTCCTTTCTTATTGAAAAGCTCTCTAAAGACAGGTTGAGCAGCTTTCTGGAATGTTACAGTTACGTGTATCTTAGTCTCAGGATAAGCGGGCGTTCTCTTGTAAAATAAGTTTTATAATACTTTTACAGGTTATGGCCTTGTAATAACTCTTCAATAACATAGTATTTGGTTTATTAGCAAAGAAAAACTGTCGACTTCCTACTTATTTACTAAGGGGTCATCCTCAGTGTTCACTGTATCTGTCAAGTCTAAAACTTTCCGAAGCAAAGCAAGACTCGTAATTGGTGTCTGATGGGATTTTTAGTTTCAAACTGGTAGTGTTATACAGAGGTGAGTTTGATTTTTAAGGTTTAGATGTTGAATGTGACATGTAGATGTGTTCATTCAGAGCACGGCCCTGGTAAATGCTGCTATTTTCAACTAACTTTTTTTTCCTGCAAGCATACAGTGTCTTAGAGGTTTTTAACATTACGGACCATTACATATAGTTCTCAGTACTTCCATTTAATTGACTTCTGTGTGTCTTCAAAATACTGCCTTGCATCAGTTGTAGTACTGCCCCCAGACAGTTTGGTACATGCCAACACATGGATGCTGCATAGTTTTACAATGAAAAAAAACCTTCCGTGATTATTAATGAAACAACAGTGTTCTGGATACATAGTGCAGCAGTGCCGTTACGTACTCTAGCGCTACCGAGACACTCTTCTGAAGGCTCTGTACTTACCCTGTCACTTAGGTACTTGCAGACACGCTGCTGATTTAAACAAACCAACACAGCACTCTGCCTTTCACAGTCTTTACAGTGTCTCAGCTGGTAACGGAAGCCGGGGGGTAACTTGGAGGATTCCATTTGCGTGAAGTAAAAGAACCAGGAATATATTTGGCGGCTAAAGAATGATACACAGAACCGGGCGATTTCTGTATAGTGGTTTCTAACCGCGTGTTACTGCAGTTCTTTACGCTGCAGAAGGGTGACGCTTGGAGTGGAAATGAAAGTTGGAAAGGATGGGGAGAAGTTTTGTCATGAAGACGCATCATCTGATCAGAACTTTGTTGTGCACCGTTCCCAAGTTGTACATTAGCAGCTGAAACCTTACCTTCCTACTATCGCTGGGCTATTTTTCAGGAGCATAACTTTTACAGGTAAAACGGCAGAGGTTCCTTCTTTGGCTTCAGGTAGGATTATAGTTAATTTTAATTTAAGTGCTTCTTGCTGAGCCTGCTTGTTAAATTCGGAGTTAACGGTGAGATAACCATTGCTTAGTTTATAATGTTGTATAAAAATGACTGCCATACAGTCAGAGTAAAGCATCACCACTGAAGTAACCGTCAATAATGGGGCAGAGGACCTTCCCCCCCCCCCCCCCCCCACCCCCCCTCCCCCACCCCGAATGCAGTGGAAATTCCGAGTAACTATTTCTAGAATTTCATATGGTATGAGATGAGGTTTCTCAAGTATCCATTCAGGTGCAGCTCAACTTATTTTTCAAGTAAAGAAAATAGAGCTAGATGGAGTTACTGTTTTCATTTATTTCCATCTGATTATATGAGATAACACTTACAGAACAGTCTTCGATGCTCAGAGTCTTTGTTCACATCACATAAAAATACACACTTTGGTCCTACTAAACAGACTAAATTGTCTTTGGAGATGTATGCAAGCAGAGAGCAACCGCTCACTGTAGCGTAAGTTTCTCAGAGTTCCTTTTGAGACAAACGCAAAGTCTTGAAAACCTCTATTCCTTGTGATTAGGCTGGTAGCATACCACAGCTTATCGTAGTACAACCGCTAAACTGTAAGTACTTACACACTGCTCTTCAGGATCATAGCTTTGCAAATAATGTAGTTACATGAATGATTTATATGCCTGTTTCGAACTAATACATTTAAAAAAAAAAAAAAAGCAGCAGATAAGGGCATTGCATTAGGTAAGTGCATAAGATGATGAAGAGACTGGAGCATCTCTCATGTGAGAGGCCTAGAGACCCGGGGCCGTTTAGGCTGGCAAAGGGAAGGCTCAGGGGGCGGATCTCATCAATGTTTTTAAGTATCTGATGGGAAGGAGTAGAGAAGATGGAGCTAGGCTCTTCTCAGTGATGCCCAGTAACAGGACAAGGGGCACAAACCGAAACACAGGAAATTCCACCTGAATGTAAGGAAACGCTTTTTTACTGTGTGGATGGTTGAACACGGGCACACGCTGCCCAGACATGTTGGGGAGTCTCTATCCTTGCAGACATTCAAAACCTGAAGTGACCTGCTGTAGTGGACCCTGCTTGAGCAAAGGAGGTGGACTGGACAATCTCCAGAGCTGCCTTCCAACCCCAACTATTCTGTGATTCTGTGAAGTGAATATACAAATGATGAAGTCTCTAGATGAATACAAAATCTTTTAAAATTAAATACTGACTTAACTCAGTCACTCAAGTGACCATTTTTCACCAGGCTTAAACAAAAGCAGTTGACCGACTTGTGAAATTGTTTTTAAAGAATGATTTATTCATTCTTGGTAGCCTTCCTTCTTTCACATCCATTGTGGAATCCTTTAGTGCCATCAGGACCTTTAGGCAGCCGCAGCACCCCTACAGGCAGACCATCTGCATTTTGTATTTTCCGAGCTAACATGGGGCTACTGACGGGACTCTTCTCTTGTGTTACAGTTTGAGCTTTTCTTCTCTGTACCCAGGGGCTACCAGAAGGAGTGATACTGCTATCCGAGGAGTAATCTGTACATTTCCTTGGAATTTCAGGGCTAGTGCTTGGGTTAAGCTTGCCGTCTTCAGCCAGCGGAGACTTTTTGTTTACTTTTCTTAGTGAAGATGGACTGTTCCAAGGACTTGATCTGGGTGATACATTAGGACTCAAATGGTTGGTTGGGTGAATGATGGGGCTCAAATTACTCATGGTATTTGTTGCAGTACTTTTGCGTCCTGACAGTGGTGATGTAGGATTACTCTCTGGGTCAGAAGAACTATTTGCTGAAGATTCATCACCAGCAAACTGAAGTTCCTCAACTCTCTTATTAAGGGATCTAGCCTTCTTAAGACTCTTGCTGGTATCTTCGTCATGGTTCTTGTCTTTGGGAACTTTTTTCTTCGGAGGTTTCACGCCTATTAGGACAACTTTCATGCCGGTCTCTTTCTTTTCAGCACACATGAAGTCATGAGCACGTATGGCAGCATCTACTTCTTCAAATTCTATAATTGCACATTCCTGAGTTCCCAGTTGGGTGTACCGACTGCTGACCCTCCTGATATCGGGTGGTAGATCCTTACCAGGCTTGAGAATACGAACTGATGAAATTACACCGAAAGTTACAAAGGCTTTGAGGAGATGCTCCATTATCCTTTCTTGCATGCATCCATTTTCTTGTTGTTTGTTAAGAGCCTGCAGCTCAGAAATCATGTGGATATCGTACACCAGTAACATCCTGGTAGGGAGGTTTTCACTTGGAAACACTGGAACAGGAGTATTCCTTCTAACCTTTCTGTTATCATCATTGAGCTCAAGAGTGTCCGAGTACTTCAGTGCATAGGCTGTGGTTCTCCAGTCACGGGTGAGGTGTTTCACCTTGAAGACAGACACAGGTTAAGCAGCACAACTGATCAAACCCACTCAAACTAATTACAGAAAGCGTAAGGCAGATGCAGGCTCCAGTCTACAAACAGAAACCTGGATTTAAGTTTCATGTAACAGACTTGAGTGAAAAAGTAAACAGTTTTCCTGCTATAATGGGCATCGGTGAGCTCCTGTAAAGCTCATGTCCTGGTGAATCTACTGAAAATAGGAACTGACACTAAATCTCTAACTGAAAATCATTACTTTATCTTAAAGCCTGCTCAAGTGATATTCGGTCATTCCATATCTAGGTCTGAACCATGACCAAAATGCATGTTCTGTGGGGTTTATTTTGTTAAATTTGCCAAATAAGTAGTTTTGCAAAGTTTAGGACTTCATTTTATTGAACGGATTTTTCCTCTCTCAAAAAACTCAGTTAAAAAAAAAAAAAAAAAAACTTCACCATTTCCAAGGAGTGTTTTTAAGCCTTTATCTGTTACTGGTATAATCTGTTTGAAGTGGTCTGAAGAAACTGGGAGTGCCTTAACTTCTAGACTGAATAGCTCTGCAAAACTGTCAGATTTACGATCTTGACAAAGTGTTTCTAATGTAACTTTAGAAATCAGTTACATACACATATTTACATAGGAGTTCCTAATGTAAAAAAAAAAAAAAAAAGAAAGAAAAAAAAAAAACCACCTGACCTTTAAGTGACTTCAGTTACCAGATACTTTCTACTACTCTTAATTTTTGGATCTCCATACATTTGCAAAGGTCAGATTCACCATCCCTTCTCAGAGACAAGAAAGTAACTTTACCAGCATTACTTAGCTACTCATGAGTAGCTGATCTAGAAATGAGTTTTATCCAATGTCCTATTTATGATGCCCTACTGTCTCTCAGAATGACAATATAAAAGTGTAGTTGCTTAAAAGCCTATGATTTCCCTAGCCAATCATGAACGAGTTCAGCAATTGAAGTTCTGGATGAGAACAAACCTAACTGTCACATCAAAACCGAATCAACCCCTGAGAGAGGCAGATAAAGAGGGAGACTCTAAAACCGCCTCTACAAAGTGATTTATTTTCATCTAATCTCTCCTAATGTTTTTAGATTCATCAGGCTTACACAAGGCACTTCAAGTCTTAAAAAGTTAGCTTACCTTCTTAAAAGAAGTGAGGAGTTTAACGCTGACGTAGCCCATCTTATTTCTTCTCACATGCTTTAGAAGGAAGGCATCTTTCTCAAGGTTCTCATCTGAGAAGTAATATTCAATCTGTGCTATTAACTTCTGAATCAGGTCATTTTCTGGTGGTTTCCATTTCTGGTCAGAGTCATCATCATTTTCCCCCCCACTGGAAAACAGTCAAATCATTTTATTAACAGATCTTCATCTTACATTAGCGGATTCAAATAATCTTTCAAAATGAAAAGGCATAACTGTAATGCTGAGTCCAACTTACTTTCTACGTAGGCACTGAACAGGCATCGCCCTATCCATCTGAGGCAGGAGGCCAGCTCAGAGGATGAAGCTTTCCAGTCAGTGTAAGGAGTCAAGTTCCTGAGCTCATTCCAAAAGCTGATCTCAGTGTAGAACAAGACATATACACTAGCATCTTGAAAACACTCTGCCAACTCAAATCCTACACCAAAACATGACATGCGGGTGCACAGGCACTTGGTGCTATACGAAGTTCCTCCAGTGACAGTGTTTTATTTTTCAGTATGAAGCTATTAAACATAGGCTTGACATTTACGTGCTTCATGAGTAGTGTCACATACCAGTGAATGAATATTCTAACTGGATACAATCGTGATTTCTCAAGCCTCATCACTGCATGAATGCAGGAGCCAGTATCCAGGGAGTAAGAAAGACTGACAGGACTATTGCACTTTTTACAGGTCACTTCCAGAGTGACAGAGTAACTTAACTAGCGGTTTACCAAGGGGCTTAAACTGTATGTACATTTCAGATTAAGGACTTTGGTGCAGTAGCAGCTCATGTACCTCAGGAACAGCTGTATATGTACACATACACAGGTTGCTAAGAAGTTATTCTCATTTCCTCTGTGCCCCTCCCATCACGTTGTCTAAGTATCTGTGCAAAATGGAGCACTACTGAGCATCCTATCCCAAAAAATAAGATACTGCAACCATGGATTTGAGATAAACTTCTTCCCACATACAGTTACAGCAACGTGTTTGTTGCTGAAATACAAACAACCATTTATATTGTTATCTAGCATTGAGGCAAATAGTTCACCCACAGACTACAGCCATAGATGTTGCTCTAAGAACTATAATGCACAAGTCTATCTTAAGCCAGAGCCTTTTTTTTTTAAAGCTGTTAGCAGTCTAGTTTTGCTGTGGGACCATGATGAAAGTTTCTGTTAAAAAAAACAATCAATCACCACTAAGCTCCCTAGACCCTATAAATCATGTATTACTTTGGTCTCCCATGTACCTCAGCAACAAAAAAGGAGGAGCCGCACATTTTCCCAAAATTGTCTTAAATGGCTTTTGCAGAGCTTGTGAAATCATTAAACAAGGGAGCAGGCAGCACACTGGAGTCCTCCGAGGGCAATCTGGAAGGGAGGTTGCAGGCTACTGAATCACCTTGCCTTGTGGCAGTTCTGTCCCAGAGACGAACTGGAGACTGTGATCGTAAGGCTGACTGGCACGCCGCCCATGCCTGGGCGCAGGCAGCAGCACTGCCTTGGCAGGTGCTTGCTCTATAGCTGAAGACACTGCTCAGGTCAATGGGCTCTGCACAGGGAACGCGCTCCCAGGTGTGACAAGTTACGGCAGTTCTCTGGGACCTGGCTTTTTGAAGCTAACAATTTATTTACTTATTACGGTTCTTCCGATGATAGGGCAACACATCAGATATACATGGATACTCACTCACACAATCCTAGTCTCCTTGTTAAATCTCCCTAGCCGCTTAACGGGGTACAGTTCAAAGGAATGACAAGAGCAAGAGAGTGAGAAAAAGAATTTAAGTTATTTGACAATGCCAGTAGAGGATAATAGATGAAGTTATGATTAAGATAGTAAAAAACATTTAATGGCCAGCTGTGGGTGCTGGTTTCAGAAGGAAGAAAAAACAAGGTTAAGTGTTTATTTTTCATTCATGATGTTCCCGTATGCCACTACTTCTCATTTTTCATTCACTACCGATTCAGAACTAGTGTGGGCACAGGAAACTTAGACCATTTCAGCATTTTTACATATCCACGCTCTGCTAAGAAAAGCTTACCTTCAATTCAGGATGGAGCTTATAGGTTTTTTAGAGGATTTATTAGTACAGACATTTGCAGGTATTTGGAAGGTTTGGATGGAAAGAAAATGGAGCATCACGCTTGGGAAAAAATAAAAATGAACTGCATGTTTGCAAAGACCAGTACCATCCTTACTTACAGAGTTAACACACTGAATCAGAGTGAAATAGGTCTCATTTCACCTCTCTAAATTAAGTATTGGTCACAGTCTGAACTATACACCATTTCTACATTTGGCAGATGGTTCAGCGTTTACAAAATCTTTAGGGCTCTTACAACAGTCCTCACTGTATGGAAATTCCACCTACAGCAAATGCAGAAATTTGCAACTAGCTCCATATTAATTCATAGTAATGATCAACTGCTAGTACCTCTAGGGTACCAACTCTACTACAGAGGTAGTTGATAAATCAATGTCAGTCAACATTGACAAAATAAAAGCCTAGTAGATATTCACAAGTTTCATTTACTTATTTCTTTATTCAGAGCTTTGTGACGGATATGCTTGTCAAAACAGGATAGACTGAAAAACAACCTTTTAACATGGTGACTCATCTGGCTATTAGTCACACAAGAAACTAAACATATCTGCATAAAGAATAGATTTTGGGTTTTAAATATCAAAACTCACAAACAATATATTAAGTTGTCTGGATGGAGTCTAACCTTTTGACAAGTTTTTGCTGAGTCTCAAAAAGAATAAGGTATTGTATTAATAAGCACTGTGGCAATACAATTTACAGCATTAGGTTGATGTTCCAACAGTACAATCACTGAAAGGCAGTGCAAGTCTGTTAACAAAAACTAGTGGATACAGTACTGGGTGCCTACTAATGGGACGCGTGGCTGCAGCAATCATTAAATTTCAATTTCTATTGTGAAATATTAAATTTTGGACTGACAGCATCATTAAAACATTCACCTTTCAAGCTCAGATTCTTCCTGTATCTGTCTTGCATCCAAAATAAACTTAAGTTGAGCAAGAATAGCTTTACTTGATGCATAGGAGAATCACCTGTTTGTTACCAACAGTCTGAAGATCTTTCTGAAGCACCTGGCAGCTAAATGGCTGAGGACTGAATGTCACAAATACTCAGAGATCTCCCAAAGAACTGTGGTGTCTTGACCATGAGGAAATGGTTTTAGTTTCTTAAGTTATACAATCTAGAAATTGAGGGGAAAAATCTAAATTGTCTGCTAGCCTAGCTGGAGAGTGAAATGGCTCATTCCCAGCAGTTTTAGACCATCACTGACAATTTTCCAAATGTTTGGGTAAATAGTTTCCTATCAGATGTTGCATTCCCGAAAGTAAATCCTTAGCTAAGGTTACACGTAAATGGCAAAAGCATGTGTGAACTCCACTCACCTACTTTTGATGCAGGACCTTTATAGTTCTCTCCATGGCAATACCTCTGGCCTTTCCTGGATCAGGAAGAGGCCATTTACAAAAAGGCAACCTCCACAAGAACTGAATATACATCAGCACTGTCAGCAAACATTTCTGAAGATAGCACCTACTGTAGAGGATTAAATAAGTGGCATTTAAGAGTTAGCTATTATGTGTTACAAAACTTGAAAAAATAACCACCCTTTTTTCTAGTCTAGGCCAGGGCTAGAAGCTCTTACACAAGTAACTTTGCCAAAGAAAACAAATGTAAAAAGTATTCTGAATTTAAGAAATCATTAACTGGAATGCAACACTGTAGACTGCTGTACACATTTGATTTATAAAAATACAAGTCACATATTATTGTGGAAAGACTAAGTAGACTCAGTTTAAACATTTTACTGGCATCTAGCTATGCTTGCTTCCTGTTTCTGTAGTGCATAGTTGACAACTTTGGCAGCTGTAGAAAATTCCACCTCCCCAACTACTCCTCTATAATTTAAAATAATGCATTGCAGTTCATTCCGAGTCAGTGCTAGGATATGAAGTTGGAGAATCCATTAGAAACAATTGATCTTTGAACAGAACACTGCATTTCATGCTACTATACCTAAATCTTTATGTGATTGAATGTATTACTGCAGCTGCAGCTCTAGTACGAACACAAGATGAACTACAATTAGTGAGCTTTGTCTCTCTGTAGTTTTCTGGCACAAAAATCCTGGATGTTCCTTTTACAAGTAAGAGATTCTGGTAGGCATCAAAGCAACTTCAGGCATCAGTAATAATTCCTGCAACTTATCATTAAATACAGACAACGCTATTGGCATTATCGAACAGTAAAGTAGATTATAAAGTGGTAGTTTCTTCTGCATTTAAACTGGTCTTGATTTCATGTCTGGTCAACTTGTTTCCAAAGCCATAGAACAGGTCTGCTTGTCCATGTCTTAATTTTACTGAAGAAAATCTCTACGGTTCTATGGAATAAAAACCAAACGGGGAAAGAAAAAAAACACAACAACCAACACGAAAACCCTTTCTGTAAAAGGCGGTGAAATGGA